TAAATATAGTTTACCTTAAAATTGATCAAGTCAATATTTATAACTGGCTAATAGATGGTCTCATTCTCAAATTTCTTTAAGCATTGTTATACAAAATCAAAAGTAAAATTTATTAGATTATGTTAATCTTAAATTTGTTGAAGCATTTATACATTTTTAAAATTTAGACAATTTAGAGAAAGGGGCTATATCTCTTAAGTGATTTGTTAAACTAGAAAATACTTTAGAACTTGAGGGTCAAGAGCTGAAATTTTATGAGTCATAAGAAGTCGTTGCAATGAGTCTTTATTTTGCAAAGACAATAACCTAGGTCACATTTCATATTTGGGGTTTATAGCCCAGAACATCTTCTGCAAAATCAAATTAGAAAACAGTAAAATCTGTCATTTTAGAAAAAATTTACTTCACATGATTTGTACAATCAGGGCAACATTCAAAGCCTTCACTTTTCAATTTGAACTGTGTAGAAGCATACAAAGATCCAGAAATAGATTAATAAAAATACTTAATAAAAATTAATTATACCAGAAAACCAATAGTCATTACAAAAAAGAAAAAGTTTATTTTTTGAGCATAGTTGAAGTTTTGTCAAAACATTGTGATCTTTTGGTACTGAAGATTGAATAAAATATTTAATTTTTAAAGACAACAAAATAAACATAAAAGACCCTCTCAACTACAGCAGAAACAAAGCAAATAATAAGGTAAGTGGGTGGCTGGCTGCAATCTTTGGTGTTCCTTGGACAGTGATGCAGTTCTTCACCTTCCATCTTCACATGGCATCTGCCTCAGTGTCTCTCTGTAGCTCCAAATCTCCCCTTTACATCAGCACAATTAATTTAATTTAAATCTAATTAAGCCCCACCCTGGTGACCTCATTTTAGCTTGATTGCTTATGTAAAGACCTTATTTTTTTTAAAAAAAAAAAATCATATCCTATGATACTAGAAGTTAAGACTTCCCTGTATATAATTAACGTTGTGTGAGAACACAACCCATAAAAAGTCACTTTTGAGCTAGAATGATTTCCTATACTGTTTGATTGCAACATTAAGCCCCTTCTCCATCACCTTGCCCAGCTACCTTCCCAGAATTGAGACTAATGAACAAACTAAACATGTTTTCTCCAGTTACTGCTTTCATTTCATTTGCTCTTGGTGGTACCTCTCACCTTTGTAATTTATGCTAGGGTGAGATTATTTGACTAGATTCTGCTTCAGTCTGGTTGCACTTTGACCTCCAGGGGTCTGTGAGCTGCAAGCTTGGTCTCTAATACAGTGATGTTAGTAGTGGTGGAAATGTCAGGTGGTGGAGTGTACTGGAGAATGGTTAGACCAGCAGGCTGTGCCCTCAGAAGGAATGAATATAGTTTCCCAGCGCCTTTGGGTGGCTTTTATGAGAGCAAAGAATTGTAAAAAGAGCAACAGTGCCCACCCCTCATTCTCACTTCCTGTCTTGCCTGTGGCCTGTCATGTCACAAGTGCTCCTGCTGCAGGGATGCCATCATCCATCAGAGGAGCTGTGTGTAAGCCTCCGACACACTAAGCTAAATAATCTCTTCTCTTGTAAAGCACCCAGCTTCAGCCACTTTGTTACAGCATCAGAAAATGACTTTTTAGTTTAGAATCTGTCCTTTTCACAAACCATAAGCTGGTGAGCCTTCTGCTCACTGGTGTATCATTACATGTTTAAAAATACCTCAGTAAGCTTCCAGTGAATACTCCATTGAGTCCCTGAATAAAGGATCAGGCCACATATGATAAAAATGGTAAAATTTTTACTCTCCCTAAAATGTGGTTTTGTTAGAAACATAAATTATCTTTAACAATTAAAAGGAAACATTTCCTGTCTATCAAGAAATAATTTATCTCATATTAGGATAATATGCCAAAAGAATCAAAAGAAACTTGCCATTTACTTTGGGTTATCTATGCTACAGGAGCTGGACAGAACTTTTTTAATCATATAAATTTGAGTAAATAAATATGCAAATTGAACGTATTAACTTCTAGGACAAGCAAAGACAAAAAGATTAGCACAGAATTGAGGAATATTCAGTTTGGTATTACAGTAGAATTTATTAACAAGTGGTTTACTTGGCTCTGAAACACCCAGAAACCATAATTCAACATATTCTGGTAAATGTTCCATGTGTTAGCAGCAGCAGTAACAGGAACGGAAGTGCATACCTACAAATCCTGCTTCCATATATTTGACTTTTTAAATATTGTATATAAATGGTTTTGGATTCAAAAATAAGAAAGCTACTTCTTGGGCTGGGGAGATAACTCAGTGGTCCAAGCTCATGCCTAGCAAGCTCAAGGACCAGGGTTTGACCTCCAGCACCACATGCTATGCTGGCCCTAGAGCTCTGGGTGTGCTGTTCTGGCCACCAAAACCTGGCATGGAGATGCGCGCCTGTAACCCCAGCACTGGACAGGAGGACGGACAGGAGGATCATTGCAAGTCTGAGCTGCTTAGGGAGATCCTATATCAAATAAATGAATGAATGAATGAATGAATGAATGAATGAATGAATGAATGAATAAATAAATAAGTAAATTTTAAAAATTAAAAAGAAAAGGCTACTTCTTTGTAAGGTCTTGCCTTTTGTCTTTTTCTCTTCCACAATTCTTTACATGTCTGATTATATTCAAAAGTCATAATTTATATCTATCTGGGCTATAAATACCGAACAAGCTGACTTGAATTCTAGGTTTTTTCCTTACTAAAATAGAAGCTCAACAGGGATTTTCTAATTGTTTATTTATTATTTCTAATAGTTTACTTAATCACTTTAAACCTCAAATTTTTTTTTGTAAAATAGAGGAAATATTATTTGATTGTTGGGTTATTTTGATATTAAATATATAGTGTCTGGACATGGATAGAAATCAAACCTTGTTGCTAATATTGTATTCACCAATGTCAGCCTGAGCAGTGAATTTTAAATAGTTGTGTATTTCAAATGTGCATTACATTTTCATTATGTGGTTTTCTTTTTTTCCCTAAAACAAAGTACTTTTTAATAACAAGATTTTTATCTTATGATATTTTATTTCTCTATTTTAAATTTTATTCAGGTATAATTGATATGTAAAACTTGTAAATACTTAGCGCATGCATTTTGACCAGATTGAATAAGTGTACACAGCCAAGGTAACGTCAGGATGGTAATAACACTGAACAACTCGATCACTGCCGATGCATGTTCTGTGTTCTCTTTGGAGAGCGCAATTATTTTGTCTTACTTTGTTTTTGTAATAAGAACACTTACCCTGCAAATTAGCTATGGTTCAGTTTCTAGCACCCTTTAGTAGCCTTAGTACTATATTGCAAGCCAGGGCTCTGCAGCTTTTCTTGGCTTGCATAGCTGAAACTCCATGCCCACTAAGTCGCCATTCCCCGTTTCTTTCTCCCTTTTGTCCCCAGCTGCCATCATTTACTTGCTGCCTCTTTGAGCTTGATCAGTTTTAAAATCTCATATGTATGGAAAAATCCTGCAGCTAAGTGAAGTAAACCAACTACAGAAGGACCAATATTATTTTTTATATCTAAAATTTATATTTGTCTATTAGCTAACACACATAATGAACTAAGAATATTTCTCTAAGTAAAATGGTGACTACAGCTAATATTAAAAATAGCTTATAATTTCCAGTAATTCTACAAAAGATCTAATTCTTCCTATTAGCAGCATGAACAAAGAGCAATAAACAAATTGATGAATTATCCTTAATATAAAATATTTATTCTTAAGGTTAAAATGTTTTAGGAGTAAGTTACATTCAGTCTTTGAGGGAGGTATAATCTCTGAAATTTTTGCATTAATAAAAATGTGTTTGAAAAGCACAAATGGCCAATAACAAAAAGTGAGCAATTTAAAAGTTATGCTCTGTTGATAGAAATTTAAAGCCTCATTCATTTTCTTTTTCTTCTTCTTCTTCTTCTTCTTCTTCTTCTTCTTCTTCTTCTTCTTCTTCTTCTTCTTCTTCTTCTTCTTCTTCTTCTTCTTCTTTT